GGGTCTCCAGCCTCTTCCCCCGCGTGGGGGGCCGGTGGCGGCCGTGGACTCGAGTGGGCTGCCTTGTTGCACCCTCCGTGGGTAGCTTCCCGCAGGCGGTGCACCGGCCCAGCGGGAAAGGGGAACCTGCCGTCCGGAGCCCGTGTCTCCAGCCTTGTCGCGCATCCTTTGTTTAACCCAGGACGCTCAGGCGCCGCCGCCTCTCCTGTTCTCTTCTCCGTTATCCGCCAAGCAGCTGGAAGTCGTCTCTCGGGGAATTTTTAACTTGTTTGGAAGCAGCCTCGGCGCGGGGTTCCTTTTTTTTGTTTTTAATCTAGAAACATCCAGGACGGCCCTGGCCGGGTAGCGCAGTTGGTCCTCCCCATCCAAGTTTGCAGTTGGATCCCGGTCAGGGCACAAAGAAGAATCCACCAACGAATGCATAACTAGAGCAACAAGTCCGTGTCTCTCTCTCTCAGATCAACACAGTTTTAAAAAACACATTTTTTTTTAAAGAATGTTTACAGAAACATCCCGGACGTGAGGGACGCCTCAAATGTCATTTCTTCAACAGGAAACTGAATTATAAAGTTGAATGACACTTTGCAGAAAGGAAGTAAAAAGGAAAACTACCCTACACACACACACGTTTACATATGCATATACACAGGGTAATCTCAAAGAATGAACCAGCAACTGCTAACTGATCAGAGTGGGGGGGTTTTTTTGGGGGGGGGGGGGGGTTGTATTGTTTTAAGTTTGTCCAATGCGCATGGATTGTTTTGTAAATGTTTGACTCCATCAAAATGTAGACACCAAGGAAATTCGGAAATGTAAGAAGTCTGAGTAGAATTGAGTAATGCTTGATAGAATATGTATGTTTGAAGAAGAAATGTCTTGTGTGACCCACCAAGTCTTCCTGCTTATTTCTGAACAGAGATTCTGGGGCGGGGGAGGGGGGAATTGGGGAGGCTACGGGGTATACAGGAAAAGAGGAGCCAGGCTTTTTCGGAAAATTATCAGCAGTGGCACCATACAGGAAACCAATCTTTATCATCTCAATCATTGCATATTCCTTTTGGATTTGCTGAAGAAAATGGAAAGGTAAATTGTAGTGTGAGCTCCCTGAACGGGGGACATGTGATGTTTATTTTTGTAAAGGAAATTACTTGGTTGTGACTGCCAGCTGTTGATACTGAAGTTCCTCTTTCAGATAAGGAAAATGTCCCTTCGTGCGGAATTATAGTATATTTCTGCCCCCAACAATTGCAAGATAACTTCAGGCTCCCTCCTCTAAAGGAAATGGTGAGGCAAAAAATTAGGCAACTGTGCCTAAGAGGGATTGCAGAAGAAAAGCTCATAATGAAAGGAGACCCTGGGCACCTTCATCCCCTGGGTTAACGGAACCAGTTCGCCTTCGTTCCCAAGGGAGTTAGTGGATCTGGACAAGTGTAGGAAATTGGGACCAGAGATTGGGGACCCAAAAGGTTGAAAGTGTAAAGTCTAAGAGAAGTTAATAATGTTGCTTCTTAGTTTGCCTTGTGTGTAAGTAGGAAGCCAGAAGTTGAGTTCCCAAATAAAATATTTTAGGAATAGTGTTTCTTAAGTAACTCCAAATGTCAGTAGTACAGCTACAAAGAAATAAATGAAGCCTGATGGGTAAGGCATCAATCAGACTGAGCAATGAGCAGCACCTGGGGATAGAAATTTTACACAGAAGAGAAAAAAAACACAAAACCAGAGAACATACTTAGTAAATTTTATTTTTTGTATAAAAAGAGACAATAATTTATGCCTTTGCCAAAATAAAGGATCTTGTCAATATAAATGTTCCTTAGAAAACATATGAAAAGATAATATAATATATATATTAACAAATCAATAACATTACAGGCAAAGTAACAATGATTCTATAACAATGACAAGTAGGGATATTTGTGACCCTTACAGAGCAGTGTTTCTGGAAGATCCAATGATTCCTCCCTTTTTTTTATTTTTTAGTATCGATGTGTCTTCATTTTAAGAAAGCTTGATACATATCTAAATTTAGAAAGGCAATCATTAAAGGATATTTATTTGTATGGCAAAGTAATTCTGTACCCCCAAAAAAGTGTTTCTGTAAAGGATCCTTTGAATTAGCAAATTTTCCTAATGGGTTTAGAATATAATAAACCAAATACATATGTCCTCAACTTCTTTCATCATAACTCTAGCACATAAAGTGAGGAATACCTTAAGTTAGGCAGTACCAGAATTGGGCTTCAGATCTGACTAGAGAGACTATGTTCTTATAGCGTGAGGAAATGGTTGGGGGCCCAAGTTCTCTCACTCTTGTTTCTCTCATCTGGAGCTCTTAATTTTCTTGTCTCTACTGCTTGCTGGTGAATTTTGCTCACCTGGTACTCTCAGAAAAAAAGGAGGAAGTCATCATGGAAGTGGGGCAAGTTAATGAATTAGTCACTCCAGCAGGGCAGAGTGAGAGAAGACTCTGGGATTCAGAGTGTGCACATGGATATGGCTGGGGTAAAGCAGGGGCAATTCTGAACCCTCGATGTGTTTTTGAGGCTCCTCTCCCAACAGGGGCGCCTGACTCCCTGAGGAGCAGCAGGGCCCAGTCCGGCCCTCCCTGGAGGGGATGTAGTCAGGAGCATGGGCTCAGGCCTATTTGTCACACTCCTCGGGGCTCCCTTCAGCACAGTGGTAGTGCTGCTCACAGAACTCCTGGATCCGGCTGCAGGCCTCCAGCATCATCACTTCAGGGACGGTGATTACCACTCGGAAGAAATTCGGGTACTCGAAGCACTGCAAAAAGAAGAGCCTGTTATTCTCAGAGCAATGCAACCTGGTCCTGGACCACCCTAAAATGGCCAGGGCCCCAACAGCAAGAAGCAGCGCCATTGACTCAGGGCATCATTGGGACACTAAGTCAGTCACTGAGTTAATTCATCTTAAAAGCTTGATTTCCCCTCCCCGGGAATGTTCCACCACACCTTTTCTTCCCAGTACTGATGGGATAATGATGGAGAGAAACAAATTTTAAACAGAGGCCACAAGACACATCAGGTTGGATCTTATCAAATGAGAATACACTTTGTTGGGGGAGGAAAGGTGGCGATAAAAACCAGCTCAGGGAGAGCTCCTGAGAGTCTAGAAACTGTGGAGAATGTCCTGGGAGGTGTAGAAACACTCACCGTTGCCGGGAGGCAGTGGACAGATTGTTCAGCAACTAACCGCTCCGTGAACTCCACATCATTCTCAAATTCTGGGAAATGTTCCATCTCAATTTCAACCTATACCAATAACAGAGAGAGGCAAACTTAGCAGAAGGAGGGAAAACGGGCCAACTCCCTATGCCAGAAAGTAAGGTAGGGACGGCTCTAAAAAATACCTTGGAACTCTGCAACTGATAACGAGCTTGATAAGTAAGTTCTAGCCCTTACGAGCTCATGGAATTTTTCATAACGAAGAGAGAATATATTTGTATTAATATTTTAGTTTACTAGCTTGATAAGTAAGTTCTAGCCCTTACGAGCTCATGGAATTTTTCATGACGAAGAGAGAATATATTTATATTATATTAATAGTTTATTGAGCGGTTCCTTCCTGTATGCTGATAAATGACAGCTGGAAATAGAATGCCAGTATTTCTCAAAAAGTAAACTATTAGCCTCATGGGTCAGGCAATTCAGAATTGCATGGAACGTTCCCACCCATTGCAAGATATTTAGCAGGCCTGGCCCACGAAATGCCAACAGCACCCCCCAGTCATTCTAAAAACAAGATTCCCGTACATTCCAAACATCCCTAGGGAACCAGTATCATTCCAAATTGAGAACGACAATGTGTAAAGAGCCTCTTCTGTCTTATTCTTCTCTATGTGTGTATATAAAGTGAGTATATTAAGGAATTAACTCATCTTAAGAGGGTTTTGTTTTGTCTAACACTGAGCTTAGATCATGTCCGTGGAACAGTTAGGAACACAGTAATTCCTAAACTGACTGACACAGGAGCCTAGCTCTTTGTGAGCCCTGCACACTGGCTTTCCACAAGTGACTGCCCCCCGCATTCTTACCATGAGGTACATGGCCCCAGAAGGGCGGACTGGCCGGAGTCCAGGGATGGCAGCCAACGCCCCATAGCACAGGTCAGCATTGGACTACAAGAGAAGGCAGATTAAAAGTTAAGTAAAAGAAAAAACAAGTCATTAAAAGAAGAACCCAGAGCAGCTGGTGTGACTCAGTGGTTGAACCTCTGCCTATGAACCAGGAGGTCACAGTTCGATTCCCAGTCAGGGCTCATGCCCGGGTTGGAGGCTCGATCCTCGGTCAGGGGGCATGCAGGAGGCAGCTGATCAATGATTCTCATCATTGATGTTTCTATCCCTCTCCATCTCCCTTCCTCTCTGAAATCAATTTTAAAAACATACTTTTTTTTTTAAAAGGAGAGTCCACATCAAAGGTAAGGCATAAGGAGTCAATAAGGCAAAAACCTGCCACATGAAACTTTGGCCAGGAGCAGAGTGAATTGCCAGAAGTCGGAAATGTATGGGTGGACAGACACCTGCACGGATGCCACCTCTGGATTTGGACGTACCATCATGGAACACTGCTCCAGAAATGACCCATTATTCCTAATTCCACTGGTGGCATTCCCTGACCCCCAAAGTGAAAGGCCACAGGCTGCCCTTACCTTGAGGAAGCTTAGGGTGTCGTGGTAGAACTCTTGAGGGGTGCGACGCAGGATGCTTTTCAAAGCTCCCTGGACAATGGTGCAGGGGCCCAGGATCCGCTGACTCAGCTTCACCAGCCCATCTCGGATCTAAAAGCCCCCCAGCAAACACAGTATTTAGCCTTTCTTAAGCACCCTGGCCTTGGGAACTCTGGTGCTGACCATTCTTTCTATCGGTTCTTATATTTCTGGAGAAGTGATGGTGCCTAGTGTCATGCTTAGATCAGACCACTTGTGTTTGTAGCCCAGCTCTGCCACGACCCTGCTGTGTGACTCTAGGAAAAGTATACAACTTCTCTGTGCCTTGTTTTTCTCAACTCTCTTTAAAATGGAGATAATACTAATACTGGCCTCATGGGGTTGTTGGGAAGATTAAATTCAAATAATGCATATAAAGTACTGGCACATTGTATGCCTGCAAACAGTATTAGGGTTATTACTGCTATTGTTTCCCTTTTGGTGGTCCAAAAATTGGAGACAGATGTAACTTCTTCACAGAGCCAGGTACAGAAAGAAAAACTGAGTTTGGAGAGGAAGCAGTACCATCTTTATCTAGCATCTTTCCAGGCACCCATTACGACAGGGCCAGGAAGAAAGGGGGAAAACAAATCTACCTCCCATCCACTGTGCACCCAAAGTAAGTATGTATCCCAAAGTAGACACACCACGTGGCTCTCACCTCATTGCCAAAAATGTCCCTGCGGTCATGGATGAGGATCCAGCCCAACCTCCAGCCAGGAACCAGCCAGCGCTTGGCCAACCCTCCGCAGGACAGGATGGGGACGTTGCTGCTGAGGGTGGCCAGAGGCTCAAATTTGGAGCCTGAAAACACCTGTGGAGAAGAGCTTGCTGTAGTTGTCTTCTTGCTTACTCTCCTCCAAATCCCACGCCTCCTCCCCTTTTCCTTACATCACTTGGATTTGGGGGCTCATCCCTACGCTGAAGCATGATTGGGACCCCAAGGGGCTTCTAAGGGGGCTATGGAAAGACATTGAACCTGGTGTCTGGTCTGGATTAAAGAAAACCTAAAGTGAGGAAACTGGCCCTAGCCCTGAAATATGGACAACCCCTTGAAGCCAGTTCTAGAGAAGGCATGACTTTTGGAGCTATAGATTTAGAAATATAATATGGGTCCACAGACACTTAGCTGAAATCCCTGGGCCCAAATATGTTGCAGAATTATTTGGATTTTAGAAAGGTTATATAGCACATGTCACCATCTATTATGTAACAGTCCCAGAGCACTCTGGGATAGCACACCTAATCAAGCATATTAACGTCTCTGCCCCTTCCCCTACGCTCATACAGATCCATAAGTGAGAAAAATAGAAATCTACAAATATCTTTATATCAGCCAAGTCAGGGTTTGCTACCAAATGAATTGCAAAAAATCTTTGGATTTTCATAGCTTTTCTGGATTTCAGACAACTGGCTGAGGAGTCATAGATAGATCTATGTATCTGTGAAGAGTACAGGGATCTTGATTGGCTGTACTGAAGTGATTAGGAGTTGCTTCTGATTATTTAGATGCCACCTCTGAAGGTCCCATGAAATAATTTGGAATGGAGATTCTTGCAGTGAGATTTCCTGCCCAAGACTCACCATGTCTCCATAGATCTCATCAGCTAAGATGGGGACACACTGCCTTGCAGCCACTGAAAATAAAAGAAACATGCAGAAATCATTAATGTGAATTGCCTGTGCATTTATTATTTACCTGAGCTTATTGTACTTTGCTTTTCATGTTTTTGTACTTTGTCTTGCTCACTAAGAACTAAATGGGTACATATTCTTGCAGGGTACAAAGCGTAAATTTGCCATTTAATTAACTAGACATTTCAGACCCTTTCTTCCACATGATGGGAATGGTGATGTGTCAAGTATTTCCTCTCTTTTTCCTTCTTTTAAGCAAGTCCTACCATTCCAATGGCACACTAGAGACCCTAGTGGAGCGCCCCAACCTCCATCCTAGGCTTGGAACGTAGTGAGGGACTCTTTTCTCATTTGGATCAATGACTAAAGGATTGCATCCTCATCTTCTCCCCTGCTGGACTCACCGGCCAGAATCTTCTGAAGATGACTTCTGCTGAACACTGACCCACAGGGGTTTGATGGATTATTGACAATGAGACAAGCTGTCTTTTCATCAATCAGAGATTCCAATTGTTTCAGGTCAATTTCCCAAGACTTCTCTGGCTGGGAAGAAAGAAAGGGTGAGGTTAAGATGATTCTGAGCCCGGCCAGTGTTGCTCAGTGGTTGAGCATTGACCTATGAAACAGGAGGTCACTGTTTGATTCCCGGTTAGGGCACCTGCCTGGGTTGCAGGCTCCATCCCCAGTGTGGAGCGTGCAGGAGGCAGCCGATCAATGATTCTCTCTCATCACTGATGTTTCTATCTCTCTCTCCCTCTCCCTTCCTCTCTGAAATCAATAAAAAAAATTATATATATATATATGTATATATATATATATTTTAAAAAGATGATTCTGAGAAATTTACGGAGAAAACTCATTTAAATCAATGGTGTAATATAAATAATAAAATATGTCTGTGGTTTCAACCACCCACTTCCAGATCTTTTCCTGCTAACATTAGTAGTAATTGAGCACTTGTGTCTAAAATTAAAAAGTCATTTACCAATAAGTTGTAGAGTTTGACCTCAATCCCCATAGATTCAGCCAAAGTCCTGTAGAGAGAGAAACCGGGTCTCGGAACGAGGATGTTTTGCCCTGGGTTGGCCAACACAGCTAAACAAAGTTCAATAGCCTGACTGCAGCCACTTGTCAGAATGACATCCTGTGAAGAAAAAAAATAAAAGGTTCATTTTGTTAGCGGTTCCAACAGCAACAGGAGAAAGGAAATTGTCAGATGGGTGTGTGGGAGACAAAGATAAACTGACTTTTACAAATTCTAAGTAAAGGAGTAGGGATTGTACTAAGCCAGAAAGAATTTAACAGCCTTATATATATGTCTCTATCTAAAGCAGTGGTTCTCAACCTTCCTAATGCCGTGCCCCTTTAATACAGTTCCTCATGTTGTGGTGACCCCCAGCCATAAAATTATTTTCGTTGCTACTTCATAACTGTAATTTTGCTACTGTTATGAATCGTAATGTAAATATCTGATATGCAGGATGTATTTTCATTGTTACAAATTGAACATAATTAAAGCATAGTGATTAATCACAAAAACAATATGTAATTATATATGTGTTTTCCGATGGTCTTTGGCGACCCCTGTGAAAGGGTCGTTCGACCCCCAAAGGGGTCGTGACCCACAGGTTGAGAACCGCTGATCTAAAGATTGTTGAAAATGCTGGCCACTTAAAAGAAGTAAACAAATCATTTAAAAAAAAAAAAAAAAAAAGGACAGGTCAATTCTGATTCAGCCAACTTCCATGAGTGGTCATTATAACCTTGGGTATTTTCACCTGGTTATTTATTTACTTTTGACCAGAGATTTGAAGCCTAGCTCTTCTCTGAAATGTAGGTGAAGGGTAAACAATAGAGGTGAGGGTGGTATTTAAACTTGGCACTGCCATCTATTCAATATGTCATGGTAGCTCAGTCTTCCTATTTGAGGGACTTAAATTGAATGAGGGAAGCTTTAAAAAGATCCTATTGGGCCCTCGCCGGTTTGGCTCAGTGGATAGAACTTCAGTCGGCCTTCGGACCAAAGGGTCCCGGGTTCGATTCCGGTCAAGGGCACATACCTTGGTTGCAGGCTCCTCCCAGGCCCAGACCCTGGTCAGAGCTCATGCAGAAGGCAACCAATCGATGTGTTTCTCTCACATCGATGTTTCTCTCGGTCTTTCCCTCTCTCTGCCACTCTTCCTAAAAATCAATGGGAAAATATCCTCAAGTGAGGATTACCAAAATAAAAAGATCCTATTGGTAAAATTGACAGTTTTAACTCTTGGGTATTTATGAATCAAACATAGAATGATCTCTGAGTCATTTGAGCCTCCTTGAGATTGACACCATATAAACTGTATGCAGTGTCATCATCATACTGTAACGACATTAAATGTAATCACTGGTTAGTGTCCTCATTATATGAGAAGTCCTCGAGTTGTTAAAGGGAAACTATCCCCGGCTTCTGTTCCCCTAGAAACCTTTATTTGCAGAACAGAAACAATGAAAAGGGTAGAGTTTGCCCAGTGTTGCTTCAGAGCTGGAACCCTGTCTCAGGCTCACCTTAGCTTCCAGGGGTGCCTCGGGACAGTGGTAATAGGACGCGACCTCTTCCCGGCTGGACAGGTAACCTGAAAGAAAGGAACAGAAGGAGGAAGCTGGACGTTTCCATCCCAGGACTGACAGCTCTACCAGAGTCACAGGGCTGTAGGCTTCCTTTCGCCCCTGCTCAGAGCACATACTACTCAGGTTAGCTCTCAGCCGCTGTTGACATAGGAAATTAAGTTTATATTTGAAATTTGTGAAATAAGCACATATATATAAATAATAACAAGAAAGAGCTCACCAAACTGTAGGACACTTTGCACCGTCTTGGTTACTATGATTATGTATTTATTCTCCATAAAATACAGGATTTCAATTATTCCCTAGTCCCACCCAGGGACTATATTTCTTGAAAAGTTATAATCAAAGAGTGTGATTCATTCAGTCCATCTTAAGTTTTTCATATTATATCCCTATTACTGTTTTTTGTACAATTTTTACCTTTAAAATCATAGTCCCATACATTACTTCCAAATGTTGGCTTATAAGCTGAAAGTATAGACAGTTTCATGCAAATGACCATGTTTTGCAAAACTGCTCTTTAAAAAGATTGTCTTTCATTGGCAGGGCCAGAGGCAATATTTTACAATGTTTGTTAACTTAAAAGGTAGAGAAAGATCTCTTGAAGTTACAGATATCAGCACTTCTTTAATTACTAACAAGGAAGAGCATTTCCCAAGATACACTGTCTATTCTTATCTGTGTTTTCTTTGGCCTGAGTGCTCATATCCTTTGAATATTTATGAAACTTGTTTTTGGTTTTTCAGGTTGAATCAATTCTCTAATGCTTTGGTTATAAAAATCACTACAAACTTTCTTTATAACCTAATTTTTGGTTTTATTTTGTCTTTATTTTTGTTGTACGAAGCTTTATAAAATGTAAATAAGCAACCTAAAACTCATGCCCCTGAAACCTCTTTGAAGTGTTTTTAAAATTCTATTTTAGCATGAAGCTGAACTTTTATTCTGCCTTAAGAATATGTTTCTATGTGCACATAAACACAGGAGAAAAATGTGCAACACTGAAACAAAGCCAAGGAATCACGTATTTTACCAAAATGTGTAGTGTAGAAATGTTTCATAGATGGAGAGGGTTAAACATAAATAAGAATAAATTCTTTCTGTCAGAAACAACCCTCTATTCTTCAATAGGACAGGCTATTCTTTGTTGGTGGTGTGGGTGGTATTTATTCCTCTTTATTTTTAATATGAAACAATTACAACTTCATTAGGAGTGTGATCAGGACCATTCTATATAATAAAAGCCTAATATGATAAGTGTCTGGTCATCCAGTTGGCTGTTCAACCAATCAAAGCATAATATGCTAATGATATGCTAAGGCCACTCAACTGCTCGCTATGATGCGCACTGACCACCAGGGGGTAGATGCTCAATGCAGGAGCTGCCCCCTGGTGGTCAGTGTGCCCCCACAGGGAGAGCGCCACTCAGCCAGAAGCTGGGCTCATGGCTGGCGAGCGCAGCGGCGGTGGCGGGAGGCTCTCCCACCTCCACAGCAGCCTCTCCCACCTCCGCGGCAGCACTAAGGTGTCTGGCTGACGTCACCCAGACATCCCCCAAGGACTCCCAGACTGTGAGAGGGCGCAGGCTGGGCTGAAGGACTGCCCCCGCCCCAGTGCACGAATTTTGTGCACCAGGCCTCTATTAAATAAAATAAGCCTTGAATACACAGAGGAGGAGAAATAAAGCCAAGCCGATTAACTTAGGACCCAGAGGGCTCAGTAAACAAGCAGCTGCAGCCAAGTTCGAGGCCTTCATTTGAGAATTAGCCATGATAGGATAGGAGCATTATTTGAGAAAGAATAATAAAGTATGTGATGGGAGCCTAGAGGGAGATACCAGTGTGCCCAAGAAAGCCAGGCAAGAAGTTGGACCTTGAAGCTTGTGTTTAAGCATCCTAGACCCTTTCCCCCAAATCCAGGCGGCCATTTATCTTAGCCTCTCCTGAGGAACCATGTGTCAGGAAAGCAAGGAGAATTGCTAGAAATGTATTCCTATTGGAAGAGCACCAAAGATTCAGAAGCCACTTAGGATCTCAGGAGAAGCTTACCAATGGAGGGGGCATAGCCGTTATACTTCCCGGAGTCCAGGGCATCTTTCATCGCCTGGGTAACTTCTGGGTCCGTGGGCAGGTTTCCAAACACAGTAGGGTCCCCTTTTCATGGGAGGAAAAAGAAAAGCCACCAAGAGGTTACTCTTCCACGCCCAGTGCTCAGACTCACCCTCCTCTCCCGTCTTCTCCCATCAGCCTACGAGGATGGGGGAGAGGGGAACAATGACCACCCCTCAGTCGAGCGTCCCCAACTCACCAATTGACAGAGAAATCATGGTTTTGTCCGGGTTTGGCTTCACCTTCATGCTGTCCACGATGGCCCGGATGGGATTGAAAGTGTTGTTGGACATGTCCGAGGGCTTCACAGACCAACGGGCCTTCCTGCCTTTCACTTTTCCTGGCGTGGAGCTTCTCCCACCGACGTTGACATGCACATCCAGAACGGAGGGGAGGTCGCCGCTGCCATTCATCTCGATCACGTATGGGTCCATCACTAGCAAAGTCTGTGGGGGAGAAGGGAGAGGAAAGGAGGTCGCAGAGATACTAAGCACAGAGCACCATCCTGGGCGGCTATATTTGGACCTAAACATAGGGGTGATTTCATTGGACATCCCTTTTCAAACTTTTTTCTTTGTTTTGCTGCTCTCTCGTGAAGAGTAGCTGTGTTATGAATGAGGGGAGTTTTAAGACCTTTTGCTGAGATGGAAAATCAAACAAGAGCCCATTCTACAATGTTAGCATTCTGTTGAATACTTATCTACGGTGAGATTCGCTGTTTGCAACCCTAGTCCTCATAAACGTTTAACCGGGCTCCCAATGAAACAGGGGGACTGACACGATAACTCTTAAACTATCAAAGAATAGGTGTTTTCTCTTTCCCATGCAGTGCCTGTCCAAGCAGAACGTCTCCCTAACACATCAACAGACTGTATCTTGCCTTCTGCAAGCAAGAACCAGGAAGACTCATTCCACGTTAGGGATTTAGTGTTAATAGTGTTGTCAAAATCAAGCGCTATCCTATAAACCAGTGGTTCTCAATCTTCTGGCCCTTTAAATACAGTTCCTCATGTTGTGACCCAACCATAAAATTATTTTCGTTGCTACTTCATAACTGTAATGCTGCTACTGTTATGAATCATAATGTAAATATCTGATATCTGATATGCAGGATGGTCTTAGGCGACCCCTGTGAAAGGGTCATTCGACCGCCAAAGGGGTCGCGACCCACAGGTTGAGAACCGCTGCTATACACATATCTGCCTGTGGAAAAAGAAGTCAATACACCACAGAGGAAAAAGCATACACCCCCATCCCCACCAGCAGAACAGCTGTCGCTTTAAATTTTACCTCTGAGTGAAGGAGTAGCAAGCAGCCTCCGGGGAGCCAAACCAGAAAGCTGTCTTAATTCTTCTCTGACAGGTGACAGTGAACTCCGATGCAACTCCTGTCTCCTGAAATACCCTCCACAGGTGGGCGTTGGACCTGAAGCTTTTGTGCTATTGGTTGGGTGGAGAGCCGGGCAGCCAACCCTCTGCGTTCCTCCCCTTTTCACTTTTTGGCGCTTCTCACCTCTAATCCTCCTCCCACCCCCAGGGACCAAATCAGGAATTTGTCCTCATCAAACACCTGGAATTTTCTGTGTTAACTCTTTCTAGGTATGTGGTGAGATGCTGGAGAGGACTGTATGTGTGTGTGTGTGTGTGTGGGGGGGGGGGTGTTAGTTGTGATTACAATTGGTAATTTTTATTAATTTTTTTGTTACAAAACAACTTATTAACATTTTATAATAGTACAGAAATGTGCAAAGTAGAAAGTGAGAGTCCTTCCTTGCCTTTTGCTAACCCACACTCCATTCTCGCTCTCAGGGGTAAGCAGTGGTAATAATAGGGCCTTTTCTATCCATTCACCAAGGTAGAGAGATGATAGGCAGCTAGGTAGGTAGGTAGGTAGGTAGGTAGGTAGAGGATACATAGATACATATAGATTTTAGATTTTCAAAACACAGATGGGATCATGCTCTGCAACTTGTCCCAGGACATGTTTGTTTGCTTCCTACATCTGGGACTCCCTTCCCTGTCAGTCTACAAAGTTCTACCCCAGTCAAAACAAACTGGACAGCTGAAGCGACTTAAGGCCCACTCAGCAAATATCGTAAAAGCACGGGGTCTTCCGGGCAACCAAAACCTGTGCAATGTTATCCTTATCCTGGGCATTTTCTTTCATTTGCCTGCTATGGGGTTATTGGAAGAATAAGACATCAGGTGAGATTTAAGCAAAACATCACTAAGCAAGCACAGCCGAGATCCCATCATTCCTGTGAGCCTATGAAAAATGCCACCCATTCAAGGGTTAAGAGAAACCTCGGTGACACCCCCTTTAACCCTCCTCAGATCCTATCTGTTTATTTATTGGGTGATGAGGAGTCATTATGTAAGTTCTTTCTCCTCCATCTACTTTTCAGTGATTCGAGTCTCCAGAGGGGTTGAATAACCTTTTGTTTTTCTGGACCTTTTCGTTTCTTAGTGCGTTGAAGATCTTATCTAATACATTCTCTTCTCCACTCCGGTGAAGCAAGCATTTACCACCTCATCTTACCAGTGGAGTGGCAGAAGTCACCAGGATTTCTTAAAAGGGCAGGAAGCCAGCCCGCGCAAAGAGAGTTCAAGTTCTGAAGCTGGAGCCCTGAGCATTAAGGGCAACCCTGTTTCAAAAGATGAATAGATAACCCCATCTCTACAACATCCACAGATACAGAAAAGGAAAGTCTGGAGTCAACTCTACTACTCGGCACCTGCGGCTTGTTTGTTGTAGCAAATGCCATTAAACATTGCATAGGTGGGAGCATACTCCACAGGTTAGATAGGCTGGCCCTTTGTGTAGTAGCTAATACAGTGAGAACATGGCATTGTTTCCAAAGCACACAGATTTTATCCAGAGAGACCATTCTTTTCTAAGTGCTTTTATTCCATTGCCCTCCATTTAAAATATAGTGCATGTGTGCTGCAGAAAATCAGAAAGGAGTTAAATAGCATTTATAACCCCACCACCATTCTTGACACATGAGTCTTCTTTTATAAAGTTGGGATCTTATTCTATAGACGCCTTTTTCAAAGTGAGATAAAATTCACATAACAAAAAGTCCATCGTTGTAGCCATTTCCAAGTAGAAGATTCAGTGGTACTCACGATGTTGTGTAACCATCATCACCATCTAATTCCAAGACATTTTCATTAAAAAGCCACTCCCCCTCCCCTCCTCCCAGCCCCTGGCAACCACAAATCTGCTTTCTGTCCCTATGGATTTGTCTATTCCTGACATTTCATATCAATGGATTCATACCATATGTAGCCTTTTGTGTCTGACTTCTGTCATTTAGCAAATGTTTTCAAGGTTCATCCATGTGGTGCTTATATCAATATTCCATTCCTTGTCATAGTGATTAATATTCTATGCATGGATGTACCGCATTTATTTATCCACTCACCAGCTGGCGGACACTGCTTTGTTTATACTTTTTGGCTACTATGAATTATGCTACTATTAACATTTGTACACAATTTTTTTTGTTGGAACATATATCTAGTCTAATTCATTTGGATAGTTTTTGTTTTGTGAATTTTAAAATTGTGTCATGAATATTTATTTTCCCATGTTATGCAAAACATCCATCATAAAGTATCACAATTTATTAAATAATTTTCCTATTGTTGGACATGATGTGGAGTCTAGTTTATATCATTGTGAGTAATGCCGCAAAAATGTTGGTTTGTATAGTTATTATTTCCTTAAGATAAATTTTTCTGTACATTGATTTACTGCATTGAAGAAAATAAATATTTTACTTTTAGGTGTTTTTGGTTTTTTTTAGTAGTTAAAGCATGATATATCCTCATGTAATAAATTCAAATATAGATGTTTCTAAACTCTGAACACCTTCTTTCCCCACAATCCCACTCTAAAGAGATAGACCCTATAACCATTTCTTGTGTATCTTTCCAAGTGTTTCCTATGTCTGTACAGTACTATATAACTGGCCCTGGAATATATATATTCCATTTTATACTCTACATTTGTTCTCTCGCTGCACTGTCCCTTATTACAGCCACTGGTCATAAGTGGCTCTTGAGTGCTTGTAGATGTGATTTGTCTGAAATGAGATGTATTGTTGGTATAAAATACACACCAGGTTTCAAAGTCCTATAAAAGTAATGTAAACTATCTCATCAATTATGTTCTATTGATTACATGCTTAACTAGTATTCTGGGTACACTGGGAGAAATAAAGTATATTATTAAAATTATTTTCACCTATTTCTTTTTTATGTTTTAGGATATTTTTACTAGAAAATCTGAAATTACTATGTGTTTGCACTCTGTTCTTATTGGACAATGCTGTTTACTTTTTAAAACGCCTTAATAAATCATGTGTAGTGTGGATATTCTTTCCTTGTTCATGCATTGAGATCCACTTCACTCCTTTTAATAGTGTTTGTTTAACCATTCCTGGCTTTTGGACATGGGAAGCTTCTACTTTTTTCTATTACAGATGAAGCATAATGAACCCAACTGTTATAAGAATCGCGTGATTTATGGGATAGTTTCCTGGAGGATAGAATCACATTTCAAACACTGATAGACCTGCCAAACTGATCCACAGATAGGCCACTAGGGAGAGAAAACATACAAATATGTCTTATTTTGGCAACCTCTTGGACTTGAGACTGCCTGTTCTGGATAACATGTCTACCTTCAGGGGTGACACAGGGAATCAGCCGAGTGTTCTCATGGTGGACAGACTCTCCGAGGTTAAGACCCTTCTTGACATTGGCCTTAGCCAAGAGTCAAGGTGGGATTTCCTTGAAGGGAGAAGCTATTGTGACTGATTTCTGCCCCTCAAGGGTTGGACTTTCAAGGACCCCAGCTACACATGAGACTCAGGTTCAACTCCTCCTCCCACACACCCACACCGCCTCAAGGCCTGGTGTCCTGTCCTCACCCGGACATTCAAACGGTAGCCTTAGATTGTTCAAATAAATAACCTAGGGCAGCCCGCCCTTGTCACTGGTGTTCTGTTCCTGTTGCTTGGCTTCTTTTTACCGTTGGAGCTCAAGCATTTTGTTATATTTTATCCAACGCTTCTCAATATTTTTATAATTACAGGTTTTTCAGGTCATCCTAAGCTCGGTGTTGTCAGAAATGGAAATCTCTCTCCTTGTTCATTTGAAACGTCCCCTTTACCTTAAACAGAATTCCCGAGTGAGTCTTCCTGAAACTTTTATGGGATATTCCTAGAACAAATGTTTCTACAGTTCTGGATACACATTGCGAGCTCGCTTTCAGAAAGGCCAATTCCTACCCATCAGTCATTGTTTGCAAACCCTGGAAATGGTTTTCTTAAAAAAAAATCTTTGCTCCTTGATTGACAGGAAAGAAAAGGTTGCTGTTATTTCTGTTATTTTTATTTTAGTGTGTGTGTTTGGGGGTGGGGGGGTCACTTTTCAAGTATTTATTAGCTCTCGGTGGTCTGTGAATTATCGGTCCCTCACCTGTCTTGCAGGGAGACTCATGTTTTCCTTAGGTAACACCTGGGCCGAGGAAGCCACCCAAGGCAACAAAACAGCTGCTCTGAGATCATCAGCCCAGCCTCCTCTGTCTCAACTAGTCTGGCTCAGACTCGGGTTTACAGATCAATACAGAGCCAGCAGCACAAGACAGTGGAGGGCAGTCTGCAAACAGAGCAGCTGACGCAGATTCTGCAGGACCCAAGGTGGGTTGAGGGGGCAGGGGCTGCGGTACCGCCCTCATTCAGTAGCTGACAACTGAACCTACGTCAGAAGGAAAAACAGACAAAGCAAACAGTTTTGGTAATACCCCTCTTCTGTAGCTCATGTTTTCTCTCCGTAGAAAGCTGGGGGGGAGGGGGGGAGGGAACAAATGAGAGGACCCCACCCCGCTCTATTTAGGAAGTTACAACTACCAGGTGAACTCCAATGGCAGCCAAGGCCAGTACACTGTAGAAATACTCATACAATCTGCACCACCCAGCCACAGTTAAGACGTTCATTTAAAAATCAAAGAACACCTTTCATTGATTTTTTCTTAAATATAAAACTACTAGAGGCCCAGTGCACAAAATTTGTGCACTGGGG